CAAAATCAACAACAACAGTAGCAACAACAATAGCATCAGCAACAACAACAACGTCAACACATCAAAAATCAACTTTAGATTTTTTGCGGCCGTCTTCAGGTTTCAAGAGCTCACAATAACCCGGTGTCGCGTCTTGGTTTTAAACATGTTTCGCGATAAGAACAGCCGTAGAGAGAGAGAGAGAGAGAGAGAGAGAGAGAGAGAGAGAGAGAGAGAGAGAGAGAGAGAGAGAGAGAGAGAGAGAGAGAGAGAGAGGAGCTCCTCAGCGTGGAGTCTTTATCGTGTGGGTCGTTCTTAAGGCCGGGGAGTCGTCGAGATATCCATCAGCTTCCTCTCAACAAGCCCCATCCCTCATCCCAACACCTGCATCCATTCCTTCGGCTTCGGTTACCGCTCTCTCCTCCCAGCCGTAGCCTGCTTACAAGTCAACGGCTAGGAAGGTGTATACGCCGATGCTCCGGCCTGTAAATCACCCCCTGCTTTGCATCTCAGTTCGTACGGCATGCCGGGAGAGAGGATAAATCAAATTAAGGAACAGGATGACACGACACGGCCGCAGCCAGCGCACACGCATTCGAACGCCGGCGGGGCCCGTTTTCCCGCCACTCCCACGAGAGAACAAAGAGCAGCCGCCATTACATCATCTGTGGCTGTCATCTCGCTCCTCCTTCTTCATTTTCTACCTGCCCACGATAGGTAGACTCCGCCCTATGTTCACATATCGTTAGTCAAGGCGACCAGAGAGGGTTTTTGTAGCCACCATGTTCCTCAGTGTAGGTTTTGGAGATCGGGCGGTGTAACAAGAGACGATCTACCGAGCGCCCTAGGCTTGGCTGATGACGACTCTCTGCCTCTTATATCTCCCGGCCCCTACCACTACCTACTTACCTACCTTCTACTACCTACTTACCTGCCTACCACTACCTACTCACCTACCTTCCGCTACCTACTTACCTACCTTCCACTACCTACTTACCTGCCTACCAGTACCTACTCAACACATCCCTGTCAGACCACATTATAAGGTGAAGACTTTTAAAGGGTATTTATGCATCATTAGTTTGCTTTAGCGGGAAGTGATTATATATATATATATATATATATATATATATATATATATATATATATATATATATATATATATATATATATATATATATATATATATATATATATATATATATATATATATATATATATATATATATATATATATTTGCTGCTGTTTCTGCCGAATTCCAAACGTTATATTGCAGCCAATCACGAAGGTTTTGCGAGATATTTGTAATTATATGTTCTACATGGTTGCCCAACGAGGTGTGTGACCGTGTGCGTGAGCACGCGCCTGTGGTCGTCGTCGTGTGACCGCGGTCGTGTAACCACTTGCGTGTGAACGCGTGCGTGTGAACGCGTGCAGTGTCCTAACGAATATGACTTATTTCAACAAACTTTTCCTTCCGGACATGTATAACAGACAAAGCTGAACCATTATGATAATTGTTGGTTCCCTACTCAGCATGCTTGGACAGACAGACAGACAGACAGACAGACAGACAGACAGACAGACAGACAGACAGACAGACAGACAGACAGACAGACAGACAGACGCAGGTGATAATGCTCTACGCAACCAACCAAACTCCACTTCTCTCTCTCTTTTTGCATATTTAAAAATGTGCTTTAATATTGTAAGTATCTGGGGGTTGGGGCGCCGGCCAGATGGGCCGCGGGGTCCAGTTTTTTAATTAGTGGTAGAATTTGTATGATTGAAAATTTAGAGCGGTAATTGAAGGGAATTGATTTTAAATATATGTTATTTCCACTTGGCGCCACCCACTCCCTTCCCTTCCCCCGCCGCCCCCCACCTCCTCTCTGCCACTGTCTCTGCTCTCTCTCTCTTCTTTCTCCTCGCTCTCTCCTCTCTCTCTCCCTATAGTTTGCATAAATTGTTATTATTCTTGAAGGGTTTAGATATTAACAGCCTTGACATCCAACTTGGGTCATGGGACGAGAAAACGGTTCTTGTCCCTTGACCCAGATTGGTGAGTGAACCGTAGTTCCTGTCCCTTGACCCAGGTTGGTGAGTGAACCGTAGTTCCTGTCCCTTGACCCAGGTTGGTGAGTGAACCGTAGTTCCTGTCCCTTGACCCAGGTTGGTGAGAGACGCGTGGTTCTTGTGACCTTAAATATTAAGCCTGATTTGCTTAAATTTTAATCAAGACTAGACGTAGCTATCAGGTCTTAGTGAAAGTACCAACCTGGGTCAATACATCTCAATTGGTCTCGATCAATACACCGCCTTTTCACGTCAAAATTCCCTACGGACAAAATATGATTTACTATAAATCATAGCGGCTCGCAAATGTTCAGTTTTTTTTATATGCTTGCGTCGCCCGGTTGAGCAATGTAGTACATCATATTTTATCCGGTGTCACAACTCGAGAGAACACGGGCTCCAAGAGTCTCCCAAAGTCTAGAGGGAGCCTATCATCCACTCTGGAGCACCATCTAGTAGGCAGCACATGGAAACTGGAATATATATATATATATATATATATATATATATATATATATATATATATATATATATATATATATATATATATATATATATATATATATATATATATTACTTATATAAAGTTATATTTAAAAAAAAATACTTAATACAGTTTTTTGTTTAAAGATTGTGACAATTTTCTTTCGTAGCCTTATTGGTGAAGATATTAACTCAAATGGTGTCAGAAAGTAACATAATTATTGTATTCTTAATTTTCTTGCATTTTATGTCAATATGAAACATTAAAAACCTCATTAACTCCACTAATCTCCAATAATGTAAATCATTTAAAGAAAAATAAGTATAACATTTAGGGGGTTTTAAAGTTCATGTTCTGTGATAATGAAACACTTGTTTACTGGGAATTATACTACTGTATATGTAATGTAGTATTGCCTTGTATAATTTATGTATATATGATTTATATTGTATTTTATTAAATAAAGATAAAAAAACTCAAATGGTGTGGGTGGGTGTATCGGTGTTATGGGCGGGGTACGTGTTATGGGTGAATTGGGTGTTATAGGTGTTATTTTTTTTATCTTTATTTAAGAAAATACAATATAAATCATATATACATAAGTTTTACAAGGCAATACTACATTACATATACTGTTGTTTACTGAGAATTATAGGTGTTAATTGGTAGGATAGGTGATGTAGGTGTTATGGGTGTATTGGGTGTTATGAGAGAGGAAGAAAGTGGTGGAGAGAGAGCGGTGTGGGTGTTGTGGCGAAGAATAATATAATGGCCGGTATTGTGATGGAGATAGCGACTATGGTCCACACAATATAGAATTTATGAGGACCGTATCCCACTAGCCAGGCTGGCCCTTATGCCTATGCTTTCGTCTTGTGTGGTGGAGATGAGAACGATGGTGGGTGGAGAATAGATTGGTGGTGGTGCTTCTGTAGTTTGGGGTTGATTGAAGAGATGGCGCTGGTATTGACGGTGGTACTGGTGGTAGGGAGGGATGGAGCAATGTTGTTGTTTTTAGATTCAGTTACTGGGAATAAAAGTTCCAAGTAGCACGGGCTATGGCGAGTCCGTTGTGGACTTAACAGGAGCAGGGCTAGAGCAATTTGATTGATTGATGAGGATTAAGCCACCCAAAAGGTGGCACGGACATGAATAGCCCGTAAGTGGAGGCCCTTTTGAGCCATTACCAGTATCAATAGATGATACTGGAGATCTGTGGAGGTGCGACTGCACCCTGCGTGACGGGAGATGTCTCCCGGACCAAGTGGTGACCAGATGGTGCTAGAGCAATGATAGTGATGGATATATATAGTGATGACCATGCTTATGGCGGTGGCAGTGAGGTGATCTTGTGTCTCACCCTCAAGGGAGGCGTGGGCTAAACTACTGACGGAAATAATGATAACAGACGGTATAATGATAACAGTAATAATTATAACAAAGGCTAATAACAGCAATGTCAATAACAGAGGCTACTAACAGTAATAATTATAACAGGCTACTAACAAGAATAGTAATAACAGAGGCTACTAACAGTAATAGTTATAACAGAGGCTACTAACAAGAATAGTAATAACAGAGGCTACTAACAGTAATAGTTATAACAGAGGCTACTAACAAGAATAGTAATAATAGAGGCTACTAACAGTAATAGTTATAACAGAGGCTACTAACAAGAATAGTAATAACAGAGGCTACTAACAGTAATAGTTATAACAGAGGCTACTAACAGTAATAGTTATAACAGAGGCTACTAACAAGAATAGTAATAATAGAGGCTACTAACAGTAATATTTATAACAAAGTCTACTAATAATACTTATAATAACAGATGGTAAAAATAGTAATTTTTACGGAGGCTATTCAGAGTAATTATTATAGCAGTCTTCTAAAATTGATAATAATAACAGAAGCTACTAATTGTAACAGAGGCTACTAACTAATAATTATAACAGGCTACTAACAGTACTAATAACTGAGGCTACTATCAGTAGTAATAATAAGAAAGGTTATTAACAGAAAAAATAAAAACAGGAATAATAATAACAGGTGATTGACAGGAAAAATAATATTATCTGAATATTTCAGTGTTTTACACCTTTCTTTCCATTTAAATACAGAATTTGCGTTAGAAAATGAGCTATGCAGTTTGATTTTACCCATTTTGTTTATTGACCTTTTTATTACTTTTCATTGTATATTTCGGGTTTTCTGTGTTATAACACATTATTTATAGAAACAAGAAGCCAGAGGGCCACGTGTGGAGTGTCGGCAACACTACCCAAATACAGGCACTGCCTGTTGATGTGCAATGTTGTAATGGCAGATGTTGTGTGTCGACTTTTTTTTTCCTCACGTGTCTTTTGTTACAGATGTTATGTCGCCTTTTTGTTCTCACGTGTCTCTTTTGTTGCAGATGTTGTGTGTCGGCTTTTTTCTCACATGTGTCTTTTGTTGCAGATGTTGAGGTTGGCGGTGAAGGTCGCGGGGTGGATGACGGGGGGAGTGAGGGGTCGCCGCTGCGGCCCCCATCCCCCTCCAGTACGACAGGGGGAAGCGATGGGCCTACTCACGCCCCACCCCCTCCAGCCTCACCCGTCAAGCCACGAATCTGGTCCCTGGCTGATATGGCCTCATCGTCGTCGTCTCCCACGTCGCCCTCGTCCACCCTGGCGGGAGCGGTGGGGAAGATGAGCGTCCACCGGCCGCTACACCTGGAGGCCTCCCCGTACGCCCGCCCACTACCCATGGCTCCCCGCCTCCCCTCGCCGCAGGAGGCACTGCTGCAGGTCTATGCCAAGTCGCTGGGGCTGGCGCCACACCACGCGCACTCCTTCCCTTCCCTGCCTCCAGGACTCAACGGGCTGGGGTCACACCTCTCTCCCTCAGTGATGGAAGCCCCGCTTCCCGCCACCCTGGGGGCGCCAACATACACCACCGCCCCCCTCCAGCCGCCCACCGTCAGCAGACCTGTGGCAACCCGCCCACTGCCGCCCATATCGCCCTCTTCCCTGCACCACACGCTCCCCGGGGGTGCCAAGATCACCCCAGCGCCGCCCCCTGCGCACCGGCCGGAGGGTTAACCTCCGCACGTATGTGTAGGGTTGCGCCCCCCCACTTCCGGCCCCCCTTCAACTCACTAGAATAAGTTACCCGTGACCCCGAGGCCTGGTCAAGCTTTAACTGTTTCACAACATTGACCTGTGGACGAGGACCCGAAATCTGACAGGTGTGTCCACTTCACGTGCTAGCCATTTGCCCGTGTTGGCCACTTGCGCGTGCTGGCCACCTGCGTGTGCTGGCCATTGCACGTTGTGGCCACTTGCACGTTATGGACCGTACACGTGGCCGACGTACGCTTCAAAGTTATTACTGCAGTGTGTGTTACAATGTCGTGTAGTGGAGGTAGGTGTGGAGGTCGCTGGACCACTTCACCTGCCTCAGTGACGCTCCATAAGTCTGAGAAGGAAAGAACAAGAAAATTTGTCTTTCCAGACAGAGCAACTACGTACTCAAAACAGAAAATCTCGTAGCATATCATTTTTAGTGACAATTCGTAGTAGACACTGTGAGGGTGATGTGTGTAGTGGGAGGGGGGTCCCGGTGGGGGAGAGACCCATATGGGGAAGGGGTGTAGATATATAAGGAATAGGGGGGTCAAGACATTGCAACGAGACATCCTAGTGTCCCGCTGCCTCCAGTGCTATAAGAAACGACACCAGTGAAATATGCATCAAAAGTTCGTCCGGCGAAATGTCCTTTCAAGTATATCACGGCGGTACTGTCGCATTTACCAGGCTTAACACCACAGGCTGTGTTCTAAAGTATGGTGAACGCATTTACGCCGGGCATGGCCAGTTCTCCCCCACCTTGGCTGTCACCCGCTAGCCCCCACACACACATCCGCCACCCAATATACTCCATAAATCTACTTATATCTGCCAAAGTTACAACATACACTCCCATGTCTCTCCTAGTGTTTCCGCCGTGTCATCCGTTCATTACATATACGAGTATTTTCACCCCCCAAAAACATCGTTCTTCGTTGAGTTCTTTGTATGAGTAAAAGTCAGTGATCTATACTCTACAGTGTAGCACAGAGAAGAAGGCTGTGTAGAGTGGGAAACGATTTCTTTTACCGTTTTGCGATCTTTTAAATGTGGAAAAAGAGAATGAAAATGTGTTCTAATAATATTTAACAGTAATAATAACAATAATTATACTAATAATTTGAGAGCTTACGGTAGTTGTATATCGTGTGTTTCAAGGCTACTTTTATATGTGGTCATAGGCAGCAACTAAAAGTATTCGTGGTAAACTTGTCACAATATATAATAATCAGAGCTGTTATGAGCAACTTGTTTGTAATTGTCATATTAACCACGTTGTTTATACAGCAACAACGTGACAACAACGACCATATTATATGTTGTTAATATATATAAATAATATACACTGCAGATTACCACCATGATGAAACACACACTGTCGTTTACCACCGTGTTCAACACATTGTAATCTATCACCATGTTGAACACACTGAAGTTTAATACCATGTTGAACACGCTACAATTGCCACACTGTTGAATACATTATTGTCTACCATAATGTTGAACACTCTGCAGTTTCCTCACACAAAGAAAAAAATCATGGACATCAGGAGTTACATATTTACCTCAGAATGTTTTATTTGTATTGTAAATGTTATGTTAATATCAAATTATTGTTTAGGATTATAAGTCATGTCTCATTACGGCTGGAAGTAATTGTTTCTGTCCAATTATGGCGACAAATTATACCAATTGTGGTCTTAGCATTATGTTAAATTATTAATGCCATGATATTAAAAATTAACACCAATACATATTATGATAGTTTCCAAGGGATATTGTAATAGTTTATGTTGATCTTAAATATTCTATACGACACAGCGATGGTGAACACTATCCTCAGATTCATTGATGAATAAATTGCACTTCACAGTGTTAAATTTTGTGATGGCGTCGTAATACAGGTAATGGAGTGTAGGGAACCGCTGAGACTAGTCTCAACACTCACCACTTTGTATAAAGACTGTTGACGTTGTGAGTTTCAGATTGGTTGGAGGGTATTAGGCTTGCTGTAGCCTCAGGTCTAGCGTATGGTGTGAATGGCGTGTTCTGATTGTTCCTTGTTAACTCTATGCCTGATCATTCATTTCTCAGCTATCAACTCTCATTTCAACACAAACTACCCTACCCTGCCCAAGATTAGTGATCTAATCTAAAATAACATTTTAAAATTCAACCTTCATAATTTTACTTGAAGTATCTATTCAAATAGGTTTCTCGTAGACCTCGTCTAAACAGCCTACCCTGAATGACTTCACCCACGGTGTCTATTCTAAACAAACCTTAATGAGGAACACAAACGAACCCCCCATAGTAACAAGCCATTCTCGTGTGCGTGCGCACCTTGCGCGTTGACCGTCGGGCACCGTAATGTGCACGAGAAAGAGCCGTTGTTGTACATACTCATAGCTTAGAGAATCTTCGGGTGTGCGTGTGTACGCTGTGCTTAACTTCTACCTGGGTTGTTAGGAGCCTAACATCTACCTGGGTTGTTAGGAGCCTAACATCTACCTGGGTTATTAGGAGCCTAACATCTACCTGGGTTATTAGGAGCCTAACGTCTACCTCGGTTGTTAGGAGCCTAACATCTACCTCGGTTCTTAGGAGCCTAACATCTACCTGGGTTATTAGGAGCCTAACATCTACCTGGGTTATTAAGAGCCTAACATCTACCTGGGTTATTAAGAGCCTAATATCTACCTGGGTTATTAAGAGCCTAATATCTACCTGGGTTATTAGTAGCCTAATATCTACCTGGGTTATTAGGCGCCTAACATCTACCTGGGTTATTAGGAGTCTAACATCTACCTGGGTTATCAGGAGCCTAACTTCTACCTTGGTTATCAAAATTCTAATTGGGTTATCAGGCGCTTAACTTTTAATTAGGATATCAAGAGCCTAGCTACTATCTGGGTTAAAAGGAGTCTTAACTTGTATCTGGTTTATCAGGAGTTTAACTTGTACTTGAGTTATCAGGAGCGTAACTATTATCTGAGTCATCAGTAGTCTAACTTCTAGCTGGGATATCAGGGGCCTAACTACTCTCCGGGGTATCAGAAGCCTAACAATATTCCTTTGGTATTGTAATAAATACTTTGTTTCATGTAATAAATACTTTTGTTGTTTTGGAAAATTAAATAGAGTTATCCCAATATAACTTTTATTATTATTATTACAAATTAATAGTTATAATAATAAAATTATTATTATTAATATTATTATTATTATTATTATTATTATTATTATTGAAAGTTGAAAGAAAAAATATATTCCGTTGATATAGTTTTGGATGCAAACGGGAATTATAAACTATTACGAAGAAATTGTTATTATTATTATTATTATTATTATTATTATTATTATTATTATTATTATTATTATTATTATTATTATTGAGTTCGGCCCTTTAATATAATAGACAAAACAAAATTTTGTTATAGATTATAAATGATATAAATCACATGTATTTAAAAGATAGTTTTTAAAATACAATAGTGACATTATCATCTGAAGCGTTAGGCCCAAATGCGTCACTATAACGCTTGACTCAGTAATTAACAGCTCTTTAGGAAGGAGAATGACTTAGAAAATTGAACGTAAAATCTCTCCCGTGGACAGGGGCTGTGTATTCAGGCAGGCAGAGAGAGAGAGAGAGAGAGAGAGGGAGGGTTCGGCCGGCCGGCCGGCAGGCTCGCTCATTGTATAAATTGTAAATGATTTGTACAAAAATTATTTATGGTCAATCCTACATAATCGTAGCGACATGTAATTATGTGTGGAATTAACGTAGATTGCAATTCCGACAGCCGTGCTGCTGATTACAGGGAAACCCATTACATATATTTTTGTGAAGCTGCCGTTAACACGGGGCGATAGTGTGTGTGTGGAGAGAGGTCCCAGTCACTTCCCCCGTCCCCCCGGCCGCATTTATCAGTCTGGATGTGAAAATATCATTTATTGACCAGTTTATGATGTTATCAGTGCTTCTGAGGGTATTCATTATTTTTAATTAGTTTTGTGTTGTCGGCCAGCCCCAAACTAGTTATGCAGTTGTTTTATATATTCGTTTATGTATTGAACAAACGCGCGGGCCAGTTGGTGCCAGGGATTTAATATTTTTCTTGGATTTTATAATAATAATAATAAAATAATTATAATAATAATAATATTATTATTATTTACTATAAATTTTTCGTTTTAATATTAGCATTACTTTTGTTGTTTAATTTTATTATTTGTTTATTATTATTAGTATTATAATTATCTTCTAGGTTTTATTTATATAGATTATAATTCCAATGTTTTAATTTGTTTGTGTGAAGGTTTAGGCCTCTCCGGAGCCAGGTAGATTCCTATTAATCCAGGTAGACTTTTGAGCAGCAAAGTAGACTCCTCGAGCACCAGATGTATATAAACTCCTCAGGGGCCAGGTACACGCCTCAGTAGCCAGGTAAACTCTTCAGCAACCAGGTAGTAATTAAGACACACACACACACTCCTAAAAGAGGTCTCGTGTCTAACACCTGTATACGCGAGAACCGAGAACAGCTTCAGGGGGTCCTGTCACCCTCATCCCTCCTCTCTCACCCTCATCCCTCCTCTCTCACCCTCATCCCTCCTCTCACATCCTTCTCCACTCACCCTCACATCCCTTCCCTCACACCCTCACATCCCTCCTCTTTCACCCTCAGATCCCTTCCCTTCCACCTGCAGGTGTTTACGAGTCACTACGGCATTTGTTGACCTGTAAACAACTGATTGACCTTAAACAGTACTCGTTGCCCATTGGTCGCACACAATCAATATATAAATATATATATATATATATATATATATATATATATATATATATATATATATATATATATATATATATATATATATATATATATATATATATATATATATATATATATATATATATATGTCGTACCTAATAGCCAGAACTCACTTTTCAGCCTACTATTCAAGGCCCGATTTGCCTAATAAGCCAAGTTTTCCTGAATTAATATATTTACTATAATTTTTTTCTTATGAAATGATAAAGCAACCCTTTTCTCTATGTATGAGGTCAATTTTTTTTTATTGGAGTTAAAATTAACGTAGATATATGACCGAACCTAACCAACCCTACCTAACCTAACCTAACCTATATTTATAGGTAAGGTTAGGTTAGGTAGCCAAAAAAAGCTAGGTTAGGTTAGGTTAGGTAGGTTAGGTAGACGAAAAAACATTAATTCATGAAAACTTGGCTTATTAGGCAAATCGGGCCTTGAATAGTAGGCTGAGAAGTGCGTTCTGGCTATTAGGTACGACATATATATATATATATATATATATATATATTATTTATGAGCCTTGTGTCTTTACTCTTTAAGGTTATATTCTTGTACGGTGTTGGAAATACCAGTGAACCACTCCATTATAAGACGTGCCAATAACAAAAGACGTGAAAATAAACCTTTTTTATTTTAAAATTTCCATGAAAAGGTTTAATTTTCAGGCAAAGTACACTGCTGGGTTGAGGGGCTCCAGCTACCTTGCAGGGTAGCGACGCTAGGTTCATACTCCATCACACACTCACAACGTAATTGGCGTTTTTCAACGTTATTCCAACGTAAAATCGGGAAAAATGACCCTGTGGTTTCGTTGTGTGTGTGTGTGTGTGTGTTGGGATAACTATACCATTTTTGTATCGTCTGTAGGAGAGAACGTTCATTGCTGTTCAACTTTGATTTAATGTGATACTTGTGCGTTAGAAACACCAGCCGTTGTGAACCCTTCATGTGGCCAGGAGGTTCAATAACAGTCATATTGACTCTTCATCAGCTTAGGTGTATTGTAATAAACATATTTCCAATCTAAAAAGTATGTGTTGTTTCATAATAAAATGTTTATAGAAGTGTTGTGGTGTTATTAACATCGGTAGATGGAATATATATATATATATAAACACATGTGTTTTGAGACAGCTGGGGTGATAGGGTTCAGAAGTTGATGCAAGCACAATTAAGTGAGTATATATATTATTGATATCTCTAATCTAAGGTTTGGATCTGTACTCATATATTCAAATCTCATTTTGTTCACTTCTGTCGGCATGAATCTGATACTCATCCTTTCTTCAGGCTTGACACCTATCCAGGCAACTAGTGTTCACACTCACATGGGTCCATCCCAAAACGCTAGACCATCATACGTATATATATATATATATATATATATATATATATATATATATATATATATATATATATATATATATATATATATATATATATATATATATATATATATATATATATATATATATATATATATATAAAGCTTCGTGTTTGGCATCCGTACAGTACATAAAAATACCCATCGTCGCATCCGAACATCCATCTGATACCCATCCACACATCCGAGTGTCCATCTGACACCCATCTGACATGGTCCACACACTCTCCATCCTCGCACCAAACATACTCCTCAATTTATGTGGCACGCCCACTTAACCAAACACCTGAAACACCTACGTACGATACCCATTAGGAACATAGTTTTTTTTTATTATATATATGTTCACGTACAAGCAGGTAATATGGAGTGGCTATAGAGTCCGTCTGTCTGTCTGCAATGTCCGGACGTTGGTTCGATTCTCCTACCAAAGAAAGAAATTGAATTGTCAGTGAAAGGCACCTGCACCTGAAGGTTTGGTTAATGAGGTGTAACCGTGGACTTGCGGTGGGACTGGACTTGTGGCGAGCTTCTTCTACACTTGTGGTGTGACCATGAACTTGTGACGTGATTTTAAACTTGTAGTGTGACCCTGGACTTGTGTTATAATACTGGACATGTAGTGTGACTCTGAACTTGTGTTGTAACACTGGACTTGAAGTGTAACCCTGGACTTGTGTTGTAACACTGGACTTGTAGTGTGACCCTGGACTTGTGTTGTAACACTGGACTTGTAGTGTGACCCTGGACTTCTGTTGTAACACTGGACTTGTAGTGTGACCCTGGACTTGTAGTGTGACCCTGGACTTCTGTTGTAACGCTGTACTTGTAGTGTGACCCTGGACTTCTGTTGTAACACTGGACTTGTAGTGTGACCCTGGACTTCTGTTGTAACACTGAACTTGTAGTGTGACCCTGGACTTGTAGTGTGACCCTGGACTTCTGTTGTAACACTGTACTTGTAGTGTGACCCTGGACTTCTGTTGTAACACTGGACTTGTAGTGTGACCCTGGACTTGTAGTGTAACCCTGAACTTGTGTTGTAACACTGGACTTGTAGTGTGATCCTGGACTTGTGTTGTAACCCTGGACTTGTAGTGTGACCCTGAACTTGTGTTGTAACACTGGACTTGTAGTGTGACCCTGGACTTGTGTTGTAACACTGGACTTGTAGTGTGACCCTGGACTTGTAGTGTGACCCTGGACTTCTGTTGTAACACTGGACTTGTAGTGTGACCCTGGACTTGTAGTGTGACCCTGGACTTGTGTTGTAACACTGGACTTGTAGTGTGACCCTGGACTTGTGTTGTAACACTGGACTTGTAGTGTGACCCTGGACTTGTAGTGTGACCCTGGACTTGTAGTGTGACCCTGGACTTGTGTTGTAACACTGGACTTGTAGTGTGACCCTGGACTTGTGTTGTAACACTGGACTTGTAGTGTGACCCTGGACTTCTGTTGTAACACTGGACTTGTAGTGTGACCCTGGACTTGTAGTGTGACCCTGGACTTGTGTTGTAACACTGGACTTGTAGTGTGACCCTGGACTTGTAGTGTGACCCTGGACTTGTAGTGTGACCCTGGACTTGTAGTGTGACCCTGGACTTGTAGTGTGACCCTGGACTTGTGTTGTAACACTGGACTTGTAGTGTGATCCTGGACTTGTAGTGTGACCCTGGACTTCTGTTGTAACACTGTACTTGTAGTGTAACCCTGAACTTGTGTTGTAACACTGGACTTGTAGTGTGACCCTGGACTTGTGTTGTAACCCTGGACTTGTAGTGTGACCCTGGACTTCTGTTGTAACACTGGACTTGTAGTGTGACCCTGGACTTGTGTTGTAACACTGGACTTGTAGTGTGACCCTGGACTTCTGTTGTAACACTGTACTTGTAGTGTGACCCTGGACTTCTGTTGTAACCCTGGA